GTTCATTTCTTATTAATGCTTACAGTCCTCTGCTAAATTGGCACGGTTGATACTAAGTCTCTCCCTTGACTGTAACATTTATGGTGCCGATTGTGTGGATGAATAAACGAAAGTCTGTATTAAATTATTAAAAATTAATTGGAGTGATGAAGAATAATCAGTAAATAGAAATTGGTGTGTGTGTGCTAAAATTTTTATCAGTGGAACAAAACCCGGAGGTCGGCTTGTGCTAAGAAACAAATAAAGAACATACTTCGAATCAGCGTTGTATTAAAGATAATAATCAAAAATCGGAATAAATAATACAACAAACGAACGAACTAACGAAAGGTAATAAACGGACGACGTTGCCGATAACAAATGAATACTAAAAGGCGTTGTGAAGTTAACGTTACAATATTATATAAACAAACGTGAACACTGGGTGGACAAACGAATGACTTTGTGATAGTGCAAATCAGTTATCTTGGTCTGAATACAATAAGATACGTTGAAGATGTGGAACTATAACCCAAATGTTCAACAAGCTCTCCCAACGAACCTGGATTGTCAACTTCAACAGTTACTTCAAGCTATGGTAAATACATTAGCACAATCAAAAGATCCTCTAGAAGTACTTGGTGAAATAGGTCTTGTAGAAATTCCAACATTTAATGGAGGGAATCAAGACTCTGTGGAATGGTTAGAATCAATTACACAAGCCTTTGAAGCAAACAATATTCAAGGAATAAGACGGCTTGTAGTTGTAGATGTATATCTGTTTGGTCCTGCTGCAACATGGTGGAAAACTCAAAAAAAGAAGATACGACATTGGGATGATGAGATGATACAAGATCAAAGCTTCGTACATCAGTTTCGGCATACTTTTTACACACCAGCCCTAATAAAACAATGGAATGCTGACTTGTTAGCTAGACAACAACAAATGGGCGAAACAGTAGAACAGTATGCCATGGATATGTACGCTTTGTTTAAACGTGTAGCGATCACAGAGAACCCATATTCAGAAATAACGAAGATTCTAATGTTTGTACAAGGTCTCCGTCCTGAATTAGCATCAGTAATTAGACCCTTTAAGTTTAATTCACTTTATGAAGCTAGTGAACAAGCCCGAAAATGTGAAATAACATTCACACGAGGATCTGCCATGGCTTATCAGACCGTAATGAACACTGTAACTCCTGTACAAATGCCCTGGATAACTTATCCTGTACCTTCTGCAACAAGGGACCCAATGGAGCAGATAGCTACATTATTACAAGAAATCATGTCAATGGTAAAAAGTAATAATAACGATAGCTATCAGCTAGAAAGAACCCAATCGACCGCCCCCAAAGTCAAGCTTTAGTTGATCTTGGAGTTAACGGTCCAGTTGGAATTGGAATAGAAATAGATGAGCATGAGGCATCCGGTTATTATTAAAGGTCAGCAAAACCAGGTGATATTAATAATGCCATTAAAAATAATGCGGATAGTTGCATGGATTTTGGTCAATTGAGTCAAAGTGATGGAAGGAAGGTCGAATGCTCACCTGACGTATTATTCGAAATTGATGAAATTGCCCAAGAAACAAGCCATAATAGATATAGTAATAAAAAAGAGCTGATGAAAGAATTTACAAATCCTGATGATAAATTGAAAAAGCATAGGTCATTCAATTGTTATTACGAGTTCAGTAAAAATAGATATGAATTGTCCGAATTGAGTTCTGGATCCATCGATGATAATTCGAAGGAACAATCTACTTCTGTAACCTGCTATAAAAATAGCATTGAAATTGAAAGAGACAATCATAAGGTACTCGAACAGGATTCTGGTTCTAGTAAAGGCGATGATTTGGTCTTTGTTAAAAACCAAGGTTTGGACAAATTTTGGGTTTTTGAAAATTGTGTACGAAATGAAATCGATGAAAAAAGTATTGAAGAAAACGTTGAAAATATACACGATTTTGGAAGTTACGACGATGGAATTGAAATAAAGAAGGATGATCATAATGTGTTTGAGGGAAGTATAAAATGTGTCGAAAGTAGCAAATTGTTAGAAAATAAGTTTGTAGATGATGACGAAGGATTGGAAGAAGAGTTGGGAAGCGATATACGACGAATTGAAGAGTATGTGGATAAAAGTGTTGAGAGTGGTGATCAAAACGATGTAGGATATACAGATATAAAGGGCGAAGGTGTAACAAAAGTTGATAAAAGTCAAAAGATAGAGAAAGAAATTAATACGAGTAAGAATAAAGCAATTCGAACGAATAATAAAGAAGATGGCTTACCTTTGTTGGATGACAAGCTAGCTCCGAAAATTGAATGCATGAATAAAATGGCAGATGATAAAACTGCAGGAGATAGATCTATGTTGTTTAATATGAATGGGTGTGAAGGGCTACTTGCCGATTTAAATGGATCAGTAAAATTGAGGCCGAATAATGCCAAGAGATATGAATTATATTCGAATCACTTCGGCAATGGCAATTTGAACGAATCATATGATGTTGGATGGCGCATAAATAAGGGACACAACCGTGTTAACTGTGTTGTAAAACAAAGGCATAAGAACAATTGGGTGGTATGTCTTCCGAATTATACTAAGAAATTGTACATTGGATTAAACATTGGTGAAACTTTCGAAGCTATGTATACAAGATGGAAGATGAAAATCGAATCATTTAAAGCTCAAATTAATATAAGTGGACCTAAGGATCAAAAGGATAATATGACATCGCGTAATGTGTCAAAACAGTGTGCAAAAGTTAATCAGAAATGTGATTTGAGCGATAACGATCTTCAGAAAAGGTGTAGTACCTGGATGGATAAAGCTGCATGCGTTGTGAGTCCACTAGGTTTGCAGAAACATACCAATAAGCAAGTCAGTAATACAAAAACAGTAGAATGTAAAGATATTGGTAATAGCCTACCTTTCAGGAATAAGAGCCCCGTAGATATTAAGTTTAGCAGAATACCTATAGATAGTCAAAAGAGGTTAAATTATACGGATGGTATAGTGCAAGAGCTGTAGATAGTAAATCCGTTGGATGTTTCGATCCAGGAGGACATTGTGATCAAAGTGGAAAAGGTCTTGATGGAACGAATTATGAGCTAAATAAACAAGAAATATTAGTTGGCAACGATTGCAGTAACGATAAAAGAATAAGATGGAATCGAAAATGTACTGAAACCAAACCTGAAGAGAAGGTGTGATTCAGAATCAGTCTGACAAAAATCACCGTAATTTCCATACTCACGCGTGACCTTGTCAACTTGGTCTTCGATCCTGGAGGAACCCTGAAGATTGGATTTAATTAGATTAGTATAGTGAAACGCAAAAAAAAAAAAAAAAAAAAAAAAAAAAAAAAAAAAAAAAAAAAAAAAAAAAAA